AATTTAGTGCGGAAACTTTCTCGATAACTTTAGTGGAAAAATTTCCCCGCTAAGTCCAGTGGAAAATTCAGCGAGAAAGCTCCCTGCCAAAGTTAGCGGAAAGATTATCTGCCAAATTTAGGCGCCATGTGACGTCACGAGGGTGACGTAATTGTGGAAAACGCCCCATAATGCAACGCGCGGTAACAGTGACGGTGGCGCCCCTTAAGCCAAAAACGCGCACCTAAAATCTGCGCTCTAAAAAAAAGGCATACTTAGCTGTTTATGAAACATTGCGTGTTGATGAAACGATCTGTCGATGAAACGTCGTTCGATGAACTGATTGCACCGCCAATGAGTGGCGACTGCAGGCAGAATTTCGGGAAAACAATGTAGACGGCTGTCGGCAGATTGGACACCACCCAAGAATTACTCCGGTTCTTGTTTGCTTCGCGATTTCTAAGTTGTATAACAGCTGAGTAGTACCTCTTCACATAAAACAGATTGCTTAGTTTGTACAGCGCGCTGCAATATGAAAGACCCACTCGGAGCGCGTGGCTGAGCGCTTCGAGTGGGTCTTTCATATTGCAGCGCACTGTGCTTGTATACGGAACAGGCTGTGTGTAACAATCTTCTAGGTGATTCGGAAACAATTCATTGTGTCGATTTACCTGCCTTTCTTCAAATACCTGGGCGAGGGCATCTTTTTCATTGAAGGGTTCGCACGGTGATTTCGATGGGTTTATCAAATTCGAAACTTCGTAAGCAAGTTTGAGAAGTTTAACCTTCTTTTATATATAAATGCAAGGTCGGAGATTGGTTTTATTAAAATGCACAGTGACAACAAATAGTTTGTTGTACATTTTATACAATTGCGTTGAAAAGAAAAAAAACTGTAGGCAGCTATAGCACGATAGTAAAGGGAACCATTGGACGAGCCATAGAATAGGCTATCGAAAACCATACCGAGGGCTATAGGCGGAAAAAGAAACAACACTATAAGCTATAGGCAGGAATAGCACAATGGATAAAGAGAACTATAGGACGAAACATAGAATGAGCTTTAGCGGATCATACAGAAAGCAAGAGGCGTCTAAAGAGATCATAGGAAAAACCATAAGCTGCTATAGCACGTTGTTTAAAAAGATCGATAGAGTAAGCCATAGAGATTTCTATAACAAAACATACAAGAAGCTATAGACGGCTGAAGGAACCAAAACAAAAGCCATAGGCGGCGATAGCATCTTTTTTAAAGAGACCCATAGACTCTATGGGTTTTTCTAGAAAGAAGGTATAGGCAGCCATAGAAGGGACCATATGAAAAGCTATAGATCGCCATAGAAGTGGCTATAGCTAATTGGGTCATTTTCTATATCCGGCCATCAATGAATTTTTTTATAGTCGAATATCGACCATTCGTGTATGGGATTTAGGGCCTACACAGGAAACGTTATCTCCGGAAACCAGCAGCCCAACGGATCGGCACCGAGTAGATGCTGTGCACTGGGACCATCCTGTTTCCAGTCGCACCCTTCGCACCTCCTTTTTTGACTGGTACCTGTCTCTTTCGCAGCTGCGGTGGCCGGCCGACCCAAGAAACTGACGCTGGAGCCTGTGTCGAGCAGTGCCTTTAACATCGATGACGCTATTGTAACTTCCAGGAGAGGCTCTTTTTCTCGGCAGTAGTAGCCACTTGCAGCGTTCTGACGAAGATGTTCAGGGGGGGCAGCATCTACCAGTGTCCGTTTCCCGGACACTGTGCCGCAAAATTGCCAGGCGGTTGGCAGCCGAAGCAGAGATCTGGACCCAATGCCGGAGTGAGCGGAGTGACTGAGTCCTCCACATTTCCGGTATTGTGGCCGACTCGTTGTTGGCGCCGATGCCACTGAGACATCGGTAGAACTGAATCTACAACTCCCCCTTACGTTGCGGGTCCTGGAAGCCGGTCCCTGTAGTAGGCTGGTTCAATTGCCGCAGGGTTGAGTGGCCAGTGGTGCGTCGACGGCATAGCGACCCTTGCAGCTGTCACAACGGCTGCTAAAGCCGGTGCGACAGTAGAGGGCATCGCAGCCGCCGTCCTGGGGAAGTCGTTGTTACCTCGTGCCCGAAAATCTAAATCACGGGCCATCTGACCGCCTCTTCTTGGGGCGTCTTGTACTGACAATGCCGGCAGTCACGCTCCATGAGGCCATCCGCTACCTCGAAAATCTTGCTCACGTTTGCGTACTGCATCCGCGCCGCCAAATTCAGGAGCTGCGGATGCATTTGGAGTAGCGTGGGGTCGACCTTTTTCGAAATCGGGCCCCTCTTGCTGGATTCACTAGTAAAATTCTGTTATGCTGCAAATGATTTCCTTAAGGTTCTCCTCGGGGTGTTCAGTGCGGTGTGTCAGCTTGTCTTCCAGACGTCGCTTGTCGTCGATTCAGGCAAACTAAACACGAAACGCACCCGTGAAATCATCTTAACAGCCGTCATAATTTGGCGCTCCCTTCAAGTGCAGATGGAACGACATGACTGAAATGGTTTTCAGTTGCGATTCCTGTGATGAAGGAATAGTTTTAGAGCCTTTCGATGAATTCTTCGGGCGACTGTCGATCACTTAAGCCTGCCTGTTAGAATGCCGCCAGGCGAGTGGACTGCAGCCGCGGTCACCTCGGGTCCGTTGGCGGCGGGCACTGGTACCAGTTGGCGCACTTGAGCAGAAACTTGCTCACACTGCATGGCGGAACCGTTGGATCGTGTTAAGAAGTGGGCTATCAATTCATCCGCTATCTGCAGCTTGTCAATCTTCAATTCCGGATAAGCTCCCCACCCCCTTGTTAGGATGGAACCTTTACTCCCCGGTCGCAATCCAAAACCTGACTACCCGTATTCGTTCTTCTTCTTCCCTATCCCCTTTGTGTTCACGTGGCAATCTTGTCCCCCTACGGGGCACGTGCACCTGGCATGGACCTCCACCAGACATTTCTCACAGTATATTTTTGATTATCCCATAGATATAAGTATACACGCTGTTCAGTATTTTTGACATTTAAATGAAGCATCTAATCAAAGTAATTCATAAGTGATGGCTTATTCATTCAGTGCTAATCATTCCTTAAGTGATGCTAAAAGGTACGAAGTTCTATATTAACTCGCCGGATAAAATTTGCATAGTTATACTGAAGCGCCTTTCGATAAGTTAACAAGAGTTTGAAGGGTTACATCTGGTGAAGAGTTTTTACCTTCACAGAATTTAATAATAATTCAGCTGTCTGTAAATAGTATACAAACAAAATTGCCTGTACCGTCCTTTGCTCTAAAAGATGGAGTTTATTTTTTTTATTATATTGGAAGAAATTAATGAATTGTAACTGGTTAAGTTGACATCACTAGGTAATGTAGATTTAACTTTTGTTATGGGATTTCCAGACATGAGACACCCAGATAATTTTGCTGGCAAATAAACAATGTGAGCCTTGCACCTCATATTATGCAATAAAAATGCCCCATGTTTTTGTTTCTAGGGCTTATAAATTTGAAGTGTTTATTATTCTTAGAAAAATGAAGTAGAACATCTATTTTCTCATTGTGAGTTCTAAATCTAATATTATTTGCTTTACTTTGACTTCATTCTTAACTGTCACAAGTTCACTTTGAACGCGCATTGAATTAGTATAAGCATTGCTACAGATAAATTATTTGATGCGAAGAGTTTGGAAAGTTTCTGGAGGGCCTAATGAGCAGCAAAAATTGTCCTACTTAATATTTCGTAATAATTCGACCACAGTGTACTTCTTTTTCTAATTGTGAATCTGAATTATACTTGAAATTGGCTCTAACTATGCTTGGGTTGTTTTTCAATATTGCTACATGCTCAGGGCAAGCTATGGGTCTAGCAAGCAATGAAAAAAAATATCTACGGGTCTAGGGCAGTGGCTAGCATGCCCAGATTTCACGCGGCCGTGTCGGGTTCGAACCCCAGCGGCAAACCTTTGTTTTATTATTTCGTTAGTCTCTTTAAGGATACAGAGGCAACTCACAGGTTCGCTTTATTTTCCACTTGCGTATAGAGTTAATGTAGTATTTCCTGGGTGGTACACCATGTAGCTCCCCTTTCCATCAAAGAAGCCTACCCGTGGCTGCAGAGGGGCAGTCTCGTCCCAGCGCTCGATCCGGCTTTTACGCCGCCGTCGACGCCTACGGCGCTATCGCTTCTCCCTTTTTTTTTTTTTTTTTTTTTGTTCCGGCACACGCTCGCCTCATTAAACGTGTAGTTTCTGTCTGCTCATTCGTTGCCTTATGAATTGCCATTCGTGACAATACTCCATCTATATGTGTAATTATGCAGTTAATTTTTACAGCGAAGCTGTTATGTGCTAGGATCTGGCAAGAAATTCGTCCATGGATGTTAACAAAAAAACTCTCGTTTAGATGGCCCTCCTTTGTTTCGATTGGTCGTGCCAAGTATAAATAAAAATTGGGGGCAATGCGCGTAAGTCTGCCTTCCTTGGCATTATTAGATAGTGAAGTAATGATTCCTTGTTATCGTCTACGGTCACCGACTTATCTCAGCTAGGAGTGCGCTGTGATGAGGCTGAGGGCAGGACGCGCCGACCTAACCTTCTTTTCTTACGCTTCAGCGTTGCTGATAAAGAGACTTGGGTTGAATGGGAAAAGGCTGTCCTCGAGGTGTGCCTCGAAAAATTGGATTTAGAGCTTACCTATAAGTGACCATAAGACATGATCACTTTAGTCACTAAGAATTAAATAAAGACAATTAAACAACAACGTCATGTACGTGTCTTCATTGCGATCATATGTAAATCGTATAGATGTCGTATAGTTGTCGTTAAATTGTAAAGTTTTAAAGAGAACAGCTTCGCTCATCCTCCATCTTCACGTGAAGTGGATGGGCTCTACAATTTTTCATTTCTTCTTGACATATTTTTGCAACATGTTTCTTATTTTCTCTGCTGCACTTGCAGGATCGATTTAGTGGTGGAGGTCACACATGTGGCAAAATAACACCGGCGTCTAAAATGGAGCAGTGCAAAATTGATGCCAGGTGGCTGGTTTTAAACGTTAGCTTCCCGCTGAAACATGTACGTAAAGACCATCTTTTCTTTTTTTTTTGCCTTGGAAAACCTCTGTCAATATCACGCACACACAGAAACCATATTTGAGTAAAAATAAACTCCCATAAAATCTCACATTTCACTTTCTGAATTGAGCATGCTGCCCGAATATATCATATTTGGTCTTCTCGTGATATCTAACCTGGGCCTAGGCCTTTACTTTGCTTTCTCAAAACGCCGCGGGAAGACCTCGTTGGATGAAATATTCCTAGCCAACAGGCAAATTAGGACGGCGCCTCTAGCACTGTCCGTGCTCGCGTCCACCATGTCGGCATCGGGGATTGTCGGCTCGACGGCTCACTACTATGCCTATGGATTCCACTTCATTTGGTCCGTCGGGGCGAAGCTGCTCGTGCTCCCGATTGCGATGTACGTCGTAGTGCCGCTACTGTATGGCCTCAAGATGACGTCCATCTTCGAGGTGAGCAATCAAGGCGTGTTTATCGCCGAGCCGTTCACAATTTACCTTGTCATCTGTGTTTTTGTTGTTGTTTTTTTCTCAAATTTCGTACAGTTAGTTAAGATTTCAAAATGTGTCTATGGAAGCGTAATTTAGAAATCACGGATCTAGCTGGTCTTTCTTGAAGTACCTTGCTAAGTGCTATATAGACCGACACGCGGAGCGGCATGTTTACCAACACGGCCGGAAGGCCGCGCATGCGCGGTAGCTATGTGGGCAAGAGCAGCCCGGCTCTCCGTGTTTTCGCCATTGCGTTCTATGGCGTGCGCTCGTTGTTGACGTTGTAGGGACATTTGTATCTTTATTTGTGCGTCGTATTCTCTCAGAACGTATGTCATATGCTATGCCCGACTATTTGAGCTCGTTGTCCGAGCCTGAACGGCAGCGGCATCAAAACAAACTGCGCGTGGACGGCGTTGCCTATGAGGATCCGTACGCCGTAAACAAGGCCTGCTGGACTTTCGACGTAAAGTTGCTGCCACGGAAGTCGACGGCTCACGTCGTCGTTTATTTAGTTTTTTTCGCCAAGCCAGTTCACGGCCGACACGGTGCAGGCGTACAAGTCTCTCGAGGTCTACGATTAGTTCGAGTGGGTTTCCGCACTGCCGGCGGGATCAGCAGACTGTGGGTCTGCGGAAGTGTGTGTATTCATTATTTGATTAAATACACACAGCGTCTTTAAGTCAAGGTATGATATTTTTCCTGCCCTCATGACTACAAGGCATGACAAGCAGTAACGCTTTGTTCGTTCTGCAGTCTTGGCGGCAACAGGTTACAAGTAACGGCGTTGTTGGTAACGCGTTACTTTTTTCAGTAACGTAGTAACCCACCCGTTACGTTTTCGACACAGTGACGGGTAACGTATTAACGTTACTATTTCAAGTAACGTAGTTACGTTACTCGTTACTACTTCCCAAGTCTTAAAGAAATTACACTTCAATTTTTTGCGTGTTTTAGGCGTCAAGCCATGTTTTACTTTGCGTTTTTTCTCGTAAGTATTTAGGAGAAACCGTAAAAAGAAATAAAGTAATTATGTTCAGTTTCTGTATGAACATAATGTTCCTTGATATATGACCTGTATCGTCAAAACCGTAAAATGTGTTAAATCATAATTTAAAAAAGTAACGCAGAAGCAACGTGCGTTACTTTTTTATCGGTAGCGGTAACGCGTTCCTTTTATTTTGAGGTAACGTAGCTCAGTAACGCGTACCTTTGATTTGCAAGTAACGAGTAACGTATTTCGGTACTTTTTTTTCGGTAACGCCTACAACACTGCCGTTCTGTCGCCGATCCTCTTCTGCTGGGTAGCACGTGCGTAGCGAGCCTCCGACGAGCGCTTGGCCGGTGCTTTGTGCGCGAACTCCATGGGAACAAAATTCGGGTGGTCTCGATCAGACAACGGTTGCCCTGCACATAAGCAAGCCTCGGGACGGAGACTGAAATGGAAGCCGCACTTGCCTTCAAGAAAGTGTTTGCCGCACAAACGGTCGTTCGCGCGAGGCGACCATTCTTTTCGATCCACGGATATTATCCGCCTTCTATGCCTTCCAGAGTCTGCCGGGAACTTGTGGAAACTCACTCCGCTGCTTTGCTTGTACATTTCGGTGCAATGAACGGCAACACAGCTTCGCGGCATGCAGAAATGCTATGTCGCCCATGCGAAACGTGCGCGCTTTTGCCCACACCCCCCGGCTCCGGCGCGATCGCAGCGCCGCCGCAGCTCCGTGACGTCAAGCCCGCGTGTCGGTGTATAAAATTTCAACAAGAATTATTTAAGATTCGAAATGTGTCATCGGAAGGGCGTGATTTACAAATCACGACGTTAGTATAAAGCTCACGACAGCAATTCTTTTAGATTGTACAATATATAAATTAGTATTTCGATAGGTCTAGCGCCGAGCCCTCCAAGCATGGCGTATTTAAGACTACCTACAACGACCCTCAATATTTGGAAAAATAATATAATAGAATTTCAGCAGAACTAAAACGGATCAAAACGATGTGCTAGTTTTTTTTTCTAAAATGTACAATGTTCTGTTATACGAAGTACTTTTACGATTTATAGAATGGTGTTTTTCACGATGACACAAAAACATTGTAAGACCTTGTTATCCCATTAAAAAATGTCTCTTTATGCTTGTTATTGTTGGCAGGGGGTAATCAAAATGAAGGTACGAATTTAGAATTTAATATCAGTATGGGGCAGGTTTAACAGCACTCAGAGGCTTCTCACAAATAAAATATTTTAGCCTCCTGTTTTACTCTAATTTTGTTCTGTTTGATTTTTAGTTTGGATTTGTTCTTAGAAAGCCATTTATTCACAGCGTTTGGGCTCTAATGTCAATTTTTCAATCATACTGCGTCTGCTATTTTCTGGAAAAATGTAAGTAAATCTTATAGCAACGTATATATATATATATATAACGGGCATGGTGGCGGGAGGCCGAAGGCGTGGGTATAAAACTGAGAAGAAAAAAACCCTTAGTGAAAAACAGCAACAACGGACGATTTAATCTTCGACGTTTCGGCCGGAGTCCGGCCTTCGTCAGGAAGCTGACGAAGGCCGGACTCCGGCCGAAACGTCGAAGATTAAATCGTCCGTTGTTGCTGTTTTTCACTAAGGGATTTTTCTTCTCAGTTTTATATATATATATATATATATATATATATATATATATATATATATATATATATATATATATATATATATATACAACTCTGAAACTGTTAACTAAGCAGAAGACAAGGAAGAAGATGGAACTTTCTTTTTTTAACCTTATCGTTCTTTCCTTCTGAATTCCTTCTTTTGTTTCGTCTTTAGGTCTTTGTTTGTTGCGCTGTTTTTGTTCACCTTGTTGTGGGAACAACGTGTTTCCCGCATCCCCATTTAGGCTTAGCTCAGGCAGGCCGTGGGGCGTTGCCATGTCGGTGCGCGTCTCGGATGCGAGGCGAGGCCGTATTCCCTCACGGACGGATCTTCCTCGCCCTTCTCGGGTGATTTGCCCAATGGGCACCTTTCGGCATCTTAGTACTCGGACGCGTCCGCTCCTCCGAGGAGCCAACACATATCTGACTAGGCCGGGCGCGTCCATTCCCGCAGGCTATATAACTCGGCCCAAATCCAAAGGGGAGACTCTCGCTGGTGGAGGCTTTGCTCGACGGTGCCTTCCCTTCTTTTACTGATACTCTCCCTTCCGGGATACTGTAAATAGCGGCAGCGCGGACTTCGACTGGGGATACTGTCCAAAAAGACATCGCCGTTACCTTGGGCATTGTTGAACCTCGGGCGTCGTCAAATAAACACGTCTTTATCTGGACCCAAGGAACCTTCTGTGTTTCTACGTGGTACCCCCAAAAGGGAAACCCACATCGGGCGCCCGAACATGTGGCCTGTCCGGCGACCGCAAACAAAGCTGCACTTTCGCAATGACCGCGAACTTGGCAAATGGCCAAGAACTTCACGGTCAGAGGGAGAGGTGAATGCCCAAAACCCTACGCCACTCAACGGCTTTGTGGCCACGTCAGCCACGCGCGGACATAATGAGCAAGTGTTCTATCAGCCGAGCTTCGCCAACGAGGTTGACTCACAGTGCCCAGAATGCAACCGAGGCACTCCACCTCGGAGCGCGCCAGCCTCCATCGCTGAGCCAAGCCACCCGTGACTTTCGAAGTCAACACGTATCCGAGGGGACAAGAGACAATGACGCAACAGCAGACAAATGCAGCCTCTTACAGCGTGGATCTCTTAACCTCAGACTGGCCGTCAGCTTCTCCGCACAGAGATAACACTGACGCCGTCCACGAGTTGCAGCACAGCACAGCTGATACAGGGGTAGCAACCACTCTGCGGGCCCACACAGAGAAAACAGCCCGCCTGTTGCACATGCGGAGAGTGATTCTCACCGCAGAGAAAACAAGCTCGGCGCATACCGACCCCTGCTACGAAACGCAGCTCGGGCGATCGAAAGTCAGACGGGCGCACTGCAAACAGCAGTTATGACCCCGCCGTCGAACAACCACCGGTCAGAATCCCTATCCCCACATACCTAGGGTACGGAGACCGAGTGAGTGCGACAGACATCCTTGAGTACCTGAAGAAGCACCGACAGGCTACGGGAATGTCGGACAACGAGATACTGGAACGGATATTGCCGAGCTCGTTGCTGGACCAAGCGGCTCGGTGGCTCTGTCCTACCGGAAACCAGCTGTTGTCGATCGAGAAGTTCCGCAAGGCATTTCGCCAGACAATTCTGCCTGCGTGCTACGAACGCAGGATGAGGCGAGAGATCAAACAACGAACCCAACACACAGACGAGTCACTGTTGGAGTTCGTGAGGGCGATGCAAGAGCTCTTTGAGCTGCAGCTGCAGAACCCTCAGCGCTCAACGCAGAGAGGGTAGAGCGAGTCCTTCGACAATCGCACCCGACATTTGCGGCCCATCTCCGAGGCAGTCGTTTTCGCGACTTGAACGAACTGGCCTCTCAGGCTCGGCAGACTGAGGAGACATTCTTGCCGCTCCTGCGTATCGTCCCCCACCGCCAGCGTCAGTGGCGCTCGAGCCGCGCTGCGCGTGGAACGGGGACGCGGCATCCCGGAGCAGGAGACACGAAGTCGCCCACTACGCAGACGAGTGAAGTCGAACCACATACGACATCTAAGATCGGGCGCTCGAACCGTACACCTAAGAACGACAGGCAGCAGAGATTCCGCCGTAGTTCAACAGGCAAGGTTGGAACAGATAGTTACCGAAGCTACAAAAGAAAACGCGGCAAAAAGCGTCCATACAGACAGGACGAAAGGCGCGGCGCGCATCCAAAAGCGCGATAGGACTTGAGAGGGGCATCGTAACAACGTTGCTTTCACTGTAACAGCACTAACCATCTGGTTCGACAATGCAAAGAATAGCAGAACACCGGTTCCGAGCAGTCGGGAAACGAGCGAAACCGCCAAAAACCTACCC